GGCTGGACCATACGCACAGGACGTGACATGGAGGACGCGTACAACTCCATGAAGCATGTGCTCAAAGGCCTTCGGGACCGCGGGGTACTGGTCAGCATTGAAAAGACGGTTGCCCTCATTGAACTCCAAGGCCCTGGTGCAGCGGCCTGCCTCTCCAGATACCTGGTGGAAAGACCGCAATGGAAGGGCAAGTTCCTCAAGTTCACCATTCATGGCACGACGGAATACGTCAAAGTGGTCGCCAAACACACATACTTAGGTATGATCATCAGCTTCAAGAAGCACGACCAAGAGACAGCCAAACACCGTATGGACCTGGCCAAAGGGGCTTACTCAAGGCTGGCTGTGATCCTCAAGTGCCGTGATGTGTCGATCAAACTCCGCCTTCTTCTCTGGCAGGGTACGATCTTACCAACCTTGCTACATGGACTGGACTGCACCGGGCTCCCACCACATGAGGCCTCGCAGATGATGGTTATGTACTTCAAACAAGCCAGAGCGATCGCCAACTCGTTCAGTATGTTCACTCATGAATCCCACCAGGACTTCGCCCGTCGGCTACGACTGCCGGACCCCCTCCGTCGTTTACTCCAGGCCCTAGACCGAAGGGCTCAGGCGGACCCACAGTGCCCGGTGCTCCTTCGCCCAGGTGACGCGCAGCTACAATGGCGTGCCTTCGTGAGGGGCCAGATTTTGGATGCCAGGGAAGCCTGTGGCAGTGTAGGTACGACCATGCAGAGCTCTGGTAATCACCTACAGCTTGTGCAAGACATTCTTCCTGAGCAACACTGTTGTGAAGTATGTGGACTTGCCTATGGCACACAGGCCTCCCTTAAAAGACATATCTTTCGTCAACATATGGATGAGGAGACGCAACTCCAAACAGTGACTGAAAACCGTCGGGTCCTACGAGGCGAGGCTATGTCACATGCCAAAGACGGTATGCCACTTTGTAGGCACTGCAACCACGCCTTCACGACATGGCCAGCATTTTTCTATCACATCAATGCTAGGAGTTGCTCTGCTCTCAAAGCTCTGTATGAAGCTGGATCGACCACTACACCTGCTCCTGTGGAGAGCGAAGCCATCACTGAGGATCCTGTGATCATAAAGCTTGCAGGCAATTGCTCATGGAGGGACCTGGCATTGCACCCCAGTGTTCGCAGCAAACATCAGCATTGCCCGGAGTGCAACTTGTGGACGGTCAAGCATCAATACGTCAAGCGACACATGCTCCTCAAGCATCCTGCTCAAAAGGCCCTGATAGAACGCAGTGAGGAACTCATTGTACAGAGCGACCTGAGCATCACCAACCCCTGCCAATACTGTGGCCTCGCTTACCAACGCAAATCCGCTCACCTTAAAGCATGTATCGGCATCTTCAGTGGGGTATACCTTCACCTTAGGATCGCCAGAGGCCGCCCCCTACAAGACCTCATCATCAAAGGGGATGACCATGGAAGTGGATGCCGAACCCGTGAGGCAGATGAAGGAGGCGACCAAGGAACTGGAGCTACTTCGAGCGCTAGCGCCCCAGGAGGTGACCAACCTACCGAACAGGCCGGAGAACCCCGGAGCGACGGAGGAGCCCCTGGAAAGAGCTCAGGATTCCTGGTTTGGCGAGCCGCAGCCCAAGTACCACAAGGACGGCAACAAGGGCAGCGAAGGCCGAGGCAAAGGAGGAGCGGAAAAGCGAGCGAGGGAACAGGAGACCTACGACAGCTCCTGGCACGGCCAAAATTCCTGGCCAAGCCAATGGCGGGGCCAATGGGAGAGCCATGCTCAGAAGGGCAAGAACAAGGGCAAAGGCAAGGGCAAGACCAAGAGGCAGCCATACCCCCACCACGACCCGTGGAGCGGCGAAGAGATGCCGGAGGAGTACAAGGCCATGATCAACATGATGGCGAACATGATCCTTCGGCAAGAAGCCCAAATCTTGATACAACGGCAGGACACTGCCTTCGTGGTCTTCATGCAGACACACATGGAGGACAGCGTGGCGAAATCCACTTACACGCTGGCGCAGAAGTGGCACATGATGAAGGCCAAAGAACCGGAGAAATTGTCATCTCCGATGCGGGTGCTGCTTTTCCAGCACTTTATCAAGACGGTGATCGAGAAGGTCGACAAGATGGTGTCTACCCCCTCGGCAAGATCGACGGCGGCGTCCTTGGGATGGATGAACGACGAGGGCACCCAGATCAATGGAGTAAAGTGGGACGCGGAGAATCGCACGCACACCAAGGACACCACGGTCAAGCCTCTGGCAACAACGGAAGTCCAAGAGGCCTTGGCGGAGATCTTGATCAAATGCCCCCAAGACCTGGTGGTGTCAAGGTACCACGCGACGAGAAAACTGGCCTCGGACTACCAGTCACCCACGTTGACAATGATGCTAGAGATTGGCAATCGGGTGGAAGCTGCACAGACAGTTTGGCGGCGACTTCATCAGCTGGAGCGCTCGGGATGCTGGGTAGCGGCAGGTACTTTCCTCCGGGCGGAGACCATGCACAGGAGTGCACTGGGACAGAAGCTGGCAGCCCTCACGAAATAAGGGCCTTCCAGCTGGGGAACCGGGGCAACTACTGCTACTCCAATGCGGTATTGAAGTGCTTGATGTATGTTGCTGCATTCAGGGGCGGCCTTGAGGCTATGTTTGATGGGGCCATGCTCAAGTTCGTTCGGGGAGTGCTTGAGCACAAGGGGACCACACACCTGTGGAGCCAACCATTTTGGATGGCGATGATGAGTCGATGGCGGGAGCCTGCACGACAACATGATTGTGCAGAATTCCTGGAGCATTTTCTGCGGGAACAACGGTTTACTGCGGACCAAATGACGCTGTACTGGCAAGCTCGCTCCTCACGAGTTGGAGAGCCAATGATAGTGGACGGGGGTGAGTCTGCGCCAATCCTCATCCAACCTCCTGAGCGAGTGAGTATAGACCACCTGTACAGTACAAGTGTACAAGAACTCATCAATGAGTGGCGAAATCAAGACTATGCACATGCGGCCACAGTCCCGCCAGAAGTGCTAGCCATACAAGTGGGGCGCTTTCGTCACCAGACTGCCGAGGGTTGCAGTGTGAAGCGTCGGTTCGCTGTGATTCCTGAACCTCGCATTAGGCTGCCGTGTTTTGTTGATGGAGTTCAAACTACTGATACCATCTTCCACCTTCGGGCAGTTCTGGTACACCAGGGCCTCTCTCTCCAAAGTGGCCATTATACTGTGATTATGTTTGACGGCATTGACAATTGTGATGCTTGGATTGCTGACGACGATAGGCAGGCGTATCGTGTGAATTATGATGCTGTTGCTGCGTGTTTCCAAGATATCTACATGCTGTTTTATACGAAAACGAATGGCCACAGCGAGGTTTTGCTTTAGGGCATACGTGCCGAAGACCTCCCCTCCTGGGAGGGTGCTATCAGATGTGCAATGCACAGCACATTGTGTGCCGGGCTTTGAAAGCCTGTCTGCTGTTCCGTTCGCCGAAGCTGGATCTTCTGCAACGCCGAAAGTGAAAGTGAAAGTACATATAGGTATGTATATGTAGGTATGTATATGTAGGCAGGTATGCTGTAGGTAGGTATGTAGGTATGTATATGTAATTTTCATCTCTTGGCTTCCGCTTTTTGGCTGACGGCGGCTTTCTGAGACGATCGTCCTCCAGGTCTTGATGCTCTTGGGTGAGGGTCTGCGGGTGCAGGGGTTTTGGAGTTGAGGGCGTTGGGGATTAATGTAAACGTCTGAGCGATCAGCAGCAAGAGCCTTGTAGCCCTGATGTTGTGGCCCCAACATATACCTTGACACTCTATTGAACTTTATAACGGCCCCTGTATGTAACACCCGACACATGCTTCTCATGGCTTTTTCAATCGTATGAAGGCCTTCAGAACCCTTATGGATCAAGACTCCTACGCCACGGGGTTTCGTTTCCATGACTCCAGGGCTTTGGGATCCTGAGGGAGGATGTGCAGAGTTACGGTTCCTTCGCTGCAAAAGCAGTATGGTGCTCAGCTGGCAGCAACCCAGAGACTCCAAAACCCCTTAATTCAGGAATTTACCTTAGATTATAGTAGGATACCTAATATGATTTAAGGATCATTCCTTAATTAAGGGGTTTTGGAGTCTCTGGGTGAAGGTCAGGCTGGATGTGGGCGCAGCAGTCCCGCGGCCCTGGGACCCCAATCCCACCGAAAGAAGCAAAGAATGAGTGACAGTTTAGGGTTTAGGGTTTTAGGGTTTAGGGTTTAGGGGTAATCTTCGGATGGCTCCTGCCCATGCCTGGAGGGGTCGGGACTTTATAGACTCATAAGTAATTATCATATTCCCTTTTTTCGGGAGTACTTGTATGTCTGTATGTCTACGTATTGCCGACTTACTACGCCCCTCGACCCTCCAAGCACCCACAGAGCTTCATAACTTAGGTGGCCGCAGGAATCAGTCCTGTAAGCACCAGATCCTCAACCCCTACACGCTGAACCCCAAGAGGCAAAAACCCAACAAAGGGGCCCTTAAACCCTAAACCCTAAACCCTAAACCATAAACCCTAAACTCAAAACCACCCCTCTAGACCTTGATCCCCTCAGCGCGAAAACCCTACATAAAGAGCATAAGCACCATTAAGCACGCTTCGAAAACGCTTCTCAACCCTCCTTGTGACCTCCCTACTTACAGGACGATGGGACTTAGTAACTACGGTTCTGAATCAGGTATTTACACTTATAACTACGTATGTATTACCCCAATTAAGGTACTTATCACCTTACATACTAAGTCGACCCTCTAAGTATAGTATCACCCTAAACCCTAAAACCCTCAAGCTTTAAAGCCTAAACCCTAAAGGCACCCTCAAAGGAACCCTACTTGGAGGTTCATGGGTGGTTATAAATTGGGTAACCCGACTTATAACCCATATTCGGGGACTTACGGGGACTTATAATCCCACTAGTAACTACCCATGCACCTCCAAGTATAGAGCCCTCCGAGAAGCCGAGGAGCTTTTGGTCTTGAACCACGTATTGTCCTTGTTCTTCGCACTGGAGCTGGGGCTCAAGGTGAGGGTCTTTGGGGTCTTTGGGGTCTTGTTGGTCTTAGGGTTTAGAGTCTTTGGGGTTTAAGGTTTATTTGGGGACATGATAAACCCAATAAAGTTGAAAACCGATTAAGGCCAAACAGTGCTGGGATTCCGTATACGTTACTCTTAAGGACTGAGGCTATTGGGTTTCTAACTTTTGGGCTTCTACTGAAAGGATTTCGGGCTCAGGGCAGAAGCTGGGGTTTAGGGTTTCGGGTTTAGGGTTGAGGGTTACTTGGAGGATCATGGGGCTTAGTAAGTAGGGTTATAAATACCCTAATTGGGGTTATAAGTAATTATAAGTATAGTTACCCTAATTATGACCCTAGTTACTAAGTCCCATGATCGTTTAAGTAGGGGGTGGCGTTCAGTCGTTTAGGGCTTAGTTAGCGCGTAAGGTGCGTGCAGGGTTGAGGGTTGAGGGTTGAAGGTCATTGACGCCCCGGTATTATGGGTGGTACCTTTAGAGTAACCCTGTAGTATCCCCTACAGGACCCTTTTAAAGGAACCCTCTAAAGGAACCCCGTTAGGGTTGAGGGGTTTGGGGCTTGGCCTCCGAAGTCGTAGCTGGCTGCTGCGAGGTTTCAGATTGCGGGCTCTAGCTTTGAATATGGCGGTCTTAATAATTAGAATAGGCTTCGGGGGCTATTATAGTATAAACATATTCAGGAACCCCCAAAATAGTATAGGTATTTAAGTAGGCTAAGTAGGCCCCCTATGGTAGTTTCTGGCTTCGGGGTCGTTTATTCTTAATCTCAAGTTCTCCTTCGTTTGAGTACACTTTGCATTGGTGTCTCTTGAAAGGTTCTATTCTTCATGGCTCTATTCTCCATGGTTTTCTTTCGAAGCGTTTTTTTATCCCAGTTACTCAAACAATGAGTTACCGGGTTACATATGGTCAGTAACCTACTATTTAGGGAAATGGAGCTCTTGGGAGAATGTAGGGGCCTGAATAATTGCCAAGACTGTTCCCGCAGCTTCCTTAATATAGCTGTGCTATGCTGGACCCCCGCAAAGCACTAGTCTTATTGTGAAGGCCTTGTAGCATACTGTCACATCACCCTATAAGACAGCGATAGGTGGAACCCTTTGAAGCAGCCTACTCTTAGCCTTCGGCCAGGAAAAAGGTTGAAATCGACACGTCTATCCCCCTTGACACACACTCAGATCCCCAATGCCCAACCTTTCAACTTTTTGGGTTCTTATAAATAGTTTAGTACGAATCGGAAAGTTTAACCTTTCTTTTTTGTGGCTTATTGGGGGAGTAAGCACAGCTTTAATTCTGGAGGTTTGGGTCTATCGCTGCGAGTTCTTCACCTTTGACATCGGTCGGGGCCCGAGTCTTGTTACATCGAGTTGTGCTTGAGGGTGAGGGGACTCAGTAAGTAGGTATATACTTAATTTCTAGACTTGTAAGTACGCTAAAAGGGATCCGAAATGGGATTGTGCTAACGTATAAGCTTATAAGTCTATAAAAGGAGTTTACACGTCTAAAAGATCACTACTTACTAAGTCCCTCGACCCTCCAAGTAGGGTGCGGGTTGCACAGATTTACGGAAGACCCGGTAATTGCCGTTCGGGATTTTCCCTCAGGCCCTAAACCCCCAAACCCTAAACGCTCAATCCCAAACCCTAAACCCTGAAAAAAAGCATGAAACCCATTTCGTTCATACACGAAAGTTTAGAACCGAAAGGACTGTTGAGCCCGGGCCTCTCGGCTATGAGCCTTCAACCCTAAACCTTATTATCGTATATTGGAAAATATTGTAGGATGCTTGTGGTATATAGCATGTTGTATTGCATTGCATTGTATTATGCTACATTTTACCCTAAACCCTAAACCCTAAACCCTAAACCCTAAACCAAACTCAAAGCCCTGAGCCCTGACACCAAGCCATGGCAGCACATCGACCGGTGAGCCGTTGCCTGCAAAGCGCTCAACCTGTGAGGTTTGCTTGGATGGTAGAGTTCGAGTTCAGGGTTTAGGGTTCAGTGATTACTTAAAGGGTCCTGGGACTTAGTAACTAGGGGTCGTTAAAGTGTTCCTTAAAAGGCATCTATAAGGGCTCTATAAGAGGGGTTTTATGGTTACTTAAAGGGTCATGGGACTTAGGAACTAGGGTTATAATTAGGGTAACTATACTTATAATTACTTATAACTCCAATTAGGATACTTATAGTCCTACTTACTAAGTCCCATGATCCTCCAAGTAGGGTTTAGGGTTTCAGGGTTAAGTGTTCAGTCGGGGACAGAGGATTTTACTCAAAGCCTCAGAGCCCGGAAATGACACGAGGGATTCAGGATCTTTTTGACTCTCAGCTCTAATTTCTGCAACGTAGCCTCCTGCTTCCTGCTGCCTCGCACTTGCGATGGGTTCCTTCTGTTCTTGCAGAAACCGCCGCCGAGCCACCATGGATGAAGAAGAAGACCTCGAAGCAGCAGCAGCCGACGACGATGACAGTGACTCTCGATGTACTGTACTGAGCTCTGTGCAGAGCACAAGTGTCGCTGTGTGAGGCTGGATATAGCAAAGCATGAGGGGCACTGGTGCCTCAAATGTGTTTTGAACCACTATCTGTCGCAGCACGATGAGCGACTGCGGTGGCGAGCATAGAAGAGACACTGCAGCTGTCGACTCACACAGACAGCAACTGTTGCGCAAGGGAGCTGCTGTTGGAGTTGGAAGTAAGGGACGAGAAACCTCATCTTTCAGACTCAGCCTGAAACGCAAGACCCCCGAGACCCCGAACCTAGACGGGAGTTTCCGAAAATAGGGGACGCTACTATACCACCCTAAGTAGTAGGATCCTTAATTTAAGGACCCCACGACGCGATACCCCCTAATTATCGGAAACTCCCAGACAGTGGACCAGAAATTCGAACTCCTCGCGTTCGCAGAAGCGCCCGGCCAGTGCAACCGCCGCAATCCCACTGACCCTCCAGGTTTCGTTTCTTGGAGGGTCGGGGGACTTAGTAAGTAGGTAATAAGTAGAGTTATAAGTACCCTAAAAGGGAACCTGATTGGGGTTATGGTACTTATAAGTCTCTAAAATAACTAGTTCCTAAGTCCCCCGACCCTCCAAGTTTGGTACACCCTACTGCAAAACCGCAAGAGTTATCAGGACCCGTAAATCCCTAAAACCCTGGCCCTAAAGCCCTGGGAAAGCGTAAAGAACCTACCTTTTTCAGGGCTCCTTATTCTGATTTTTTTTTATGTAAAACCCTAAAAAGGCAGGCTGTTAAGGGTCCAGGTAATGTTATTGTCCTAAACCCTAAACCCTAACCCAGAGACTCCACAACCCCTTAAGTAAGGAATATACCTTAAATTATAACAGGGACCCTAATATGATTTAAGGAATATTCCTTGATTAGGGGATTTTGGAGTTTCTGGGTCTCCCGACCCTCCAAGCAGACCCCACACCCCAAACCCCTAAACCCTTGTACCCTAAACCCTATACCCCTAAACTTTAGGCAGACGGAGAAAGGTGCTCAAAAAAAGAAACCTTCCTGTGGGTGGATTCCTTGAATCATATTAAGGTCCCTATTATAATTTAAGGTATATTCCTTAATTAAGGGGTTTTGGAGTCTCTGGGAAGCCTTCCTGTGGCAATCCACCCAGGCTGGCACGCGCTTGATATGCTGATCGTGAGCACCGGCATGGCAGAGCTGATCATTGAAACCTGGCAGAACCCACAATGGCAGGGTTTAGGGGTTTAGGGGTTTAGGGTTTAGGGGTTTAGGGTTTAGGGTTTTTGCCGGCATGACAGATCATTGAAACCTGGCAGAACCCAACATTGCACACTCATCTCTCCCGCGAAGCATAGATCGTGAGCTGGTTTGGGGGATACGGTTTAGGATATGTGGGGTTTTCGTATTCAAGGGCTATGGAATTTTCAGTGTTGTATAGCCAGATGTGGCTTATGAGTTGTCTGTTTTTCCAGCCTTCCCATCAAAGGTAGCAGGCTCGCCGGGAAGGTGACAGGTTAATGTAGTAGCCTGAACACAAAACCCGGGGTTCTGCACCCCAACAACGATAAGATCCGTATGTAGAGCCTTCAAAAAGGCCTCCACTATCTTGCTCCGTTCTTTTGTTTAGGGTTGAGGGGTCCTACATGCCTTGGCTTCCAGCCTAATCGGGCTCAGTCTTTTGCGTTGGGTTTGGACAAGACCCCGAGGCTCCATCTATACTGCCATTATGGAGTTAGCTCCTTAAAACTATCATAAGAAGCCTTCGCGCCAGATTGGGGCACGCGAACGCGAAACAGCCCGTTTAAGAACCCCGTACAGCCCCTTTCATCCTCCACGTAGACACCCTGCAGCCCAATCCTGAACCCTAAACCCTATGTCAACCCCTCATCCAAGATGCTTATACAACGCGACATGCCAGAGCCTCCTTAATCGTAGCCTTCAGGATGTGGTGAGCTTGGTGAATGCAGCAGCCTGCATCCTGGCTTAGGACTTTGAGTAAGGGAAAGGGTTCCTCCACGGGTTCCTTTTTGAGTCCTGTAAGGCCTTCGGTGTAGGTTTGTTAATACGGTGGTAGGTGTATTTTAAAGAGGTTTCCATAGGGGTTTCATGTTTTGTAGATGTGTTAATCGGCTTTTCAGGGCTTCCTTAGGGGCACTTATAAATAAATTTCAATTTTGGAATCCTTTTATCCGTAAGCATAGCTAAAATTACAATTTTTGCTAGGGGTCTAAGTTCAGTATAGCTTCGGCGTTCTGGTCTAGAGAGGAACGGCTAAGTTCGTGGTTGAGGGCTTGTGCAGTAAGGAAGGGAAATCAGAACATATTTCGCCCCAACCCTCCACCACCGCCCAGCGCCCAACCTTGTGCCGATTGCGCATATATATATATATACATATAAAACTGTGTGTGTGTTTGTGCGTGTGTGTGTGTGTGTGAATGAGAGGAAGTCGTTGCAAGTAAGCATCCTTGGCAAGCCACCTTGCGCGATCGTGAATGCGATCTAGCGTGGTTTGAGCTCTTGAGACCTCTGTCATAGGAGGCCAAAAGGGGTTTTAGCCTATGGGGGTTTAGTAGGGATTAGTGTTCCCATAATCGGGTTCATATTAAGGAATCCCTACCCCAAGAATCCTAAACCCCCCTTTTGGCCTCCCATCGCTCTGGAACGAGCCAGTTTGGGGATTTTTCCGCCGAGGATGTTCGCCTTTGGGTTCCGGGCCAAGTCGGGCCCAGGGGTAACCCGAACCTAAACAGGCCCTCCACTCCAAACCTTGTCAAAATTATGGTCCCTTTTTGGGTACCCCAAATATTAGGTGCGGTACTATAATCGGGACCCAAAAAGGGACCCTAAGTTTGACAACCACCCAAGTCCTAAACCCTAAGCCATAAGCCCGAAGAGCCCCTAAACCCTAAACCCGATACCCTATAGATCCCTTATAGAAACCCTTATGGGTCCCTTTAAAGGAGCCCCAAGAGCAAGACACCCGAACGTCAGGGCTGTTCTCGGTTCCTACTTGGAGGGTTCGGGGCTTTGGTAAGTAGTTATCTTATTAAAAAACGGAAATCCCTAGGCCCCAAACCTTCGACCCTTAAACCCGAAGCCCGAAACCCTACGTAAGCTCTTTTCTACCTCCCTGCACCCTAAGGAACCTACCTTTTCAGGACCCCTTATTATGATTTCCTTGTAAAAGTCCTAAGAAAGGTAGGTTGTTCAGCCCTAATTCAAAACCTAAACCCGCTTACCAACTCCCCCGACCCTCCAAGCAGAGCTGCAGATAAGAGGTAGAGGCCGCGATTGCGAGAACCCGGATGAGAGCCACCCGGACCTTTGGTTCAGGGCTGTGGGTTTAGGGTTTAAGGTTAGGGTTTAGGGTTTACTTAGGAGTACTATCAATTTTTTTTAACTTTTGGTTCCTTTAATCCTTAGACAGCTAAAGTTCTAATTTCTGCTAGGGGTCTAAGTTCGGTGTAGTTTAGGGTTTAGGGACCAGGGTCAATAGCGGGGCCGGAAGCAGAGGTGTCTGGACTCTACTTGGAGGGTCTGGGGATGTTGAAAGAAGGACAGTAGAGTTGTAGGTGCTAAAAACGGGAGCCCAATTGGGGGTGGGGTACTTATAAGTCTTTAACATATATAGTAACTAAGTCCCCCGACCCTCTAAGTACGGTTTCGGGTTCGGGATGGTCATAAGGTTTAGGTTTTGGGGGTTTTGGACATACAGATACATCAGTTAGGAAAACCTGCTATCCCTTATAAAGTGCAGAAGCACCAGTTAGGAAGGTCTGAGGATGAATATGGTTGACTGAGCTAGCATGCTTTCCCACCGGTTTTCCTAGGTAGTTTTAACGCTACGCCGCCCGTCTCGGCTCTTTAGCGGCAGGGCGAGGGGGCAGTGGATGTCGTATACACCATGCTAGGGGGGCCTCTCAACCCCAACCTTTAACGGTTGGGTCTGCTTCTGCTGGTCATGGTGTCTCCAAACTTTCGGACTGCAGGGAGGATGATTAGGTGGAGGGTACCTGAGGTAATCCCCAAGACGCCTGGGCCTGTGGCCTCGGCGCATTGTTGTTACAGTGTAGACCCTGCCAGAGCCATGCTCGAAATAAAAGGGCTTTAATGACTTATACTACTTTCGGGGTTCCTTGTTGTGGTTGTAGTACAATGGGAGCCAAAATCCTAGTCTCATCATTAAGGCCTCTATATTCGACAGTCGGGCTTCAAAATGAAGGGCCTCGGACGTTCCATGATCAACTCGCAACCCGACTCCGCAAATGGGGAACGCCTCAAAGCTGACATATCCCGCAGTGCGCATAGGGTTTAGGGGTCCATGGTAACGAAGGTGTGCACCAGTCCCCCAGTTCGGGTAACTTTCGCAGGATAAGTAGCATCATGAGCACGTCAAATCAGGACTTAAGCACAATTGACCTGTTCTTATCTTCCTCATGACCTGGTTTAGACCTTCACGTAACTAGAATCTCATGTGCAAATTTTCGCATCCCGAAATCCCCCAAAGACGCCGAGGTATCGACCTAAGCATCCTCCGTGCCGTGCGCATCGGCCGCGTCGTGCGCCTGGCACGACTGGCTCGACTGGTGCCTGCCTGCGATTCAGTTTAGGGTGTTTGGTCTGGGGTCCCGAGCAGAGGTATTCTTGCCCACCACTCCTGTGTTGACAGACCTAACCAACACTGCAACCTTAAACCTAAACTCTATGCCTTAAGCCCGAAATCCTTGACCCTGCAGGTGCAGTACATCCGCGAGCTGCGACGGCTAATTCTCTCTGTGGCCGGCACGCTGAAAGCAGTGCCACCCGCCCTTCAAACCTTTGGCTTTCGGGTTCCCGGCTTTCGGGGGTCTAGGTTCATAGGGTTTAGGGGTTTAGGGGTTTAGGGGTTTAGGGGTTTAGGGGTTTAGGGGTTAGGGGTTTAGGGTTTAGGGTTGAGGGTTTAGGGTTTTGGGGTTAAGGGTTAGTGTTTAGGGTTAAGGGTTCAGTGTATAGGGCCGTCGATTAGGTGAAGGATGCTTTCGGGTCGACCTGAGTTGTTTAAGGCTGTTTGTCTAGGGTGCTCAGGGTGGAATTTGTATTTTTAGGATTTGAAAAGCCGAGACTCAAAGCCCTAAGCCCTAATCTCTTACCCTAAACCCTAGCCCCTTCGCCCCTGACCCTGAATCCTACAACCTTAATCTCAAAACCTGAACCCCGAAGCTGTTTAAGAGGTTTTGGGCCATCGTGCTGCTGGCCTTGTTCATCTACACCTTCGCTGTCATCTTCCAGCAAGCAGCCGCCGGGACTACATGATTTTTTGGACGAGGACGATGATGATGACGAGTATGACGATTGTTTTTCCTAAGACAATATGAGATCTTATTCATCATGCTTAAAAGGGCTATAATTAGTGTTTCGGGTTTAGGGTTTAGGGTCTTGTGTCGGTGTCAGGGGTACACACTAAATCCAAAACTTAAACCCCACACGTCAAACTGCCAAATCCCACACCCCAAAACCTGAACCATAAACCCCGAACACCAAAAACCTCAAGCCTCACGCTCTCAGCTCCGAGGGACCCCTCCGCTCTGGTAAATTTCGTATTTCTCAGAACATGTTGTAAAGCCTTGTGCGGCTTTAGGGGTTTCGGGATATGGGGGTTTAGAGGCTCAAGGTAGCTTGGGTTATTTTAGGAAGTGAGGACCATTCCTCATTGAACTTAGGGCTTCAGGGGTTAGAGTGGCGTAGCTTGCGGTGTAAGGGACATTCCTGATGTAGGGAGTTTTGGGCTCGCTGGCGATCTGCGAGGTGAACGACTACGAGCACGACTTGGTAACCAAAAACTCCACAGCTCTTTGGCCCACTCTTTGGCGAGGGCTGTGGGTTTTGAGGGAGTCAAGGGTCTGGGGTCTAGTTCCCAGACCCCCAGGAGGATCGAGAAAGTAGATCCCCTAATTTGGGGCCCTCTTCTACTTTGGGTACTTTATCGGAACCCCCATTAAGGGATCTATTTTTTGGATCCTCCCGGGGGTCTGGGTTTGTAGGGTTGAGGATTCTTTAGATTTAGGGTTTAGACTTTGGGCTTTAGGTCCTGCAACCTTGGAAGTTACATGGCGGTTGAAGAATCCATAGTGCCAGGGTCTGGTTTATAGAGTTCTCGGGGTTTACATTCTAAACCCTAACCCTAAACCCTCGAACCCTAAACCCTACACCCTAACCTTAAACCCTGAATACTGATGTGGGCGAGAGAGAAAGGCCACTACACATTAAACAAAAAGCCCTGAATCCAAACACTTAAACTAGGATGCCCAGTAGTACCCTTATTCCCTTTTTGTAGTCCTAGGTTCCTTATAAAGTTACCCAATACCAAAAAGGGGAGCGCTTTTTATTCCTAGGTTACTGGGCATCCTAGTAAACCCTAGAAGCCGACAAGGCTGGCAAGTCTTTGTGCCACTCGATAGGATGGGCGTGGTCGCGGTTTCGGGTTTAAAATTTTGAGGCCGTTTCGGGCTGCACAGAAGGGTTCGCTTTAAGGGTTATTGCTGTAGTGTATAGGGTTGTGGGGTTCCTAATTGTTAAGGCCCTTCTATTACTGGATACTGGGGTTCCCATTACGGGTACTACCGCGAGGAGCGCTTGGACTCTCCTGTGTCCAAGATTTGTGCTTCTCGATCGGGCGGGATGCGGCCAAGCGTTCGATCAAGGGATTGGAAAATGGGGGCCTTAATGGTTACCTCTACTATTTTGGGTGTTCCTTTGTATATTTTAATATAATATACCCCCAAACCAAATTCTAATTATTGAGGCCTCTATCTTATGCAATGTAGGGTTCAGGGCGTAGGAAGTAAGTAGGTCGTTGTCGCGGATTGGGTTCAGGTTTAGGGTGTTTGATGTTCGGGTTCCCGTCAGCAACTACCGATTCAAGGCTTCCTCAAGAGATAGGACCCTCTTTCGCAACACCGCTCCAGGTTTAGGGCATTGGTGATCCTTCAGCCTCTAAGGCGCGAGACCCTGAACCCCAAACCGCTGTGAAAAGTAATCATAGTGGTCCTTTCAGCCGTAGGATCTACGGGTTTACGAGTGTCTTTGAAGGCCGTGAGTTTCGCACCCTAAAACCTTGCAGTTGTAGTTGTATAAGACTACTCACCACGCCTAGCAACAACCTTTCAAGTCGGTATAGGACAGGACAAAATTGGCTTACAAACCTACGACTCTAATCCTGAATCCTAAACCCTAAACCCCAAAAGCCCCAAACCCTAAACTCTATACCCTAAAGCCCAACAGCCCGAAACCCTAAACCTTAAATCCAAAAGCCCTAAACCCTGAACCCCAACAGCCTACACCCTAAACCCCAAAAGCCCCAAACCCTAAACCGCCGGATCCCAGGCCTACGACCCAGCAGCGAATCCCGAGCGCGGACGCTTCTTCGACGGAGTCTCGGTTCGCGCTGGCTGGGTTTAGGGTTTGGGGTTGAGGGTTTACGGCAGCCTTTAACGGGTGCATAATTCATTCTAGTTACTAGTATTCCAAACCCTGATTATTTTTGTTATGCACAGTTATCGAGGATTTTCAATTCAATTTGAGGGGTTTGGGGTTGCGGGAAGAGGCGAAGGACTTTAGGGTTAATTGCTCGATGTTAGGACAGAGACCTGGAATATTAGTGATCTGCCCTGGTGTTTCCTGTAGAGTTACAGCATTCCATACCTCAAGATTTTGTTCTCATTCTTAAGGCCCCTTTTGTAAGGGTTTAGGGTTTAGGGTTTAGGGTTTAGGGTTTCATTATTACGGCCCCTCGTGCAAGGATGTTCTGGAGCTGAGGAGTGGGGTTTGGGGAACAAACGCAGGGATTAGTCGGGTTTTAGGGTTTTTGGCTTGGGGCTTCATGGTTGCTTGGGCTTTGTGTTCCTAGGGTTTTCCGCTTAAGGGTTTGGGGTGTAGGATCTAACGTTCAAAGTACAGTGCTTTAATCCGGCTAGAGTTTTCCGGATTCCCGTGCTCGTTTGCAAGGGTTTTCGTCGCCCGAAGCTGCCACCCCAGGCATCTTGCGAACGGCGATGACGCTGTTGCAGACCGCAACAGGTTGGCCCAGCAACGTACCTGTCTGCTACTCTGAGCTAACGAACAGTGAACGGTCTGTAATCAATTGGACTTGAATATAGACCCCTCGTTCAACACTTCCCCACCCGTTAGTACGAATTAAAGATGATGGTGGGCATGCTAATATTCCGTCCACGAAGCAACTGGGGTGTCGCAAAAGGGATCTACCTGAAATCATCAGCCGTACCATCACATAGGAACTGTACAGAAAGCCTGTTGAGACAAGAGTCTTCGACTGAATGCTTCTGTACTTCTGCATGCTAGCTGCGAGTGTTTATGCTTGATGTCATTGTTGTCATGTTCTTATTGAAACGAATACATTTGTTGTTGTCGCTGTAACTGTTCTAAGCGCACCTATTCTGTCTTCTTAGTGCTTCTTACAGTCACTATAACAGTCGTGAACATCGGGGTCGTTGCAGATGACACCTATATCCAAGGACGGAGACAAAGGGCACGGTCCCTGTTTGCGACGGCGGGTTTGTGATTCAGAGCCTTAGTTAGGGTATGTATGACAATAGTATAGCTACTCTAGCCCTTCGTGCTAGTTGTTATAGCAAGGGATATCTACCTGCAGTATAAGGGCTAGTGTTTAATCAGTATCATGGTAAACTGCGCATGATCCCTGGCTAGGCTCGAGTTGACCAGCTATTTCACGGCAGGTTCAACTAAATGCTATTCGACTACAAATGATGAAGTCAGCTATACGCGACATTCAACATAGTGTAAGGGAGCGGCATCGATGGTCTGATTGTCTGTCGGGACAATGCGAATCCGCCCATCAGATGTGGGGTTTTCCCATGACTCCATCAGCCACAGGTTCAGCTGTGGCAGGCTGGTGACCGACACATTGGAAGAGCTTCGATCTCGACGGATTGACGTGTCGATTATTCCCCAAATGATCGTTTCACAAGTTGATGAATGCTGGTTTGCATATACTGGCAACCGACGGCTGTGGGTGTTCCGCGAACTGGAGAGAGACGGCATCCTCTGTGAAATCGATGTTAAGACTACGAACAAGAAAATTGGCAAGAAAAGATTTACCACAGCCAACATGGGAGCGTCTGTTCGAGTCCGATGGCAGGGGGAAGCCGAGCCAGAGACTGTTCAGACGTTCGAGTATGGTTTCTTTGCGGATGCAGGTGCGCAGGAGGCATACGTGAATTCCGCGGGGTGCACGCAATGCGTAGCACTCAACCACGACCAATCGGGATACGTTTCTTTATTTAGCTGTGAAGGCAAGCTTTGTTTGAAGCAGCGCTCAATTCCACAAGGCTTGTTTGACTCTTTGGTGCTTGAGTTAAAAGCTGGAAACATTCCCACATTATTTGCTTGCGGCAGCAACGAACGCTACTTCGTCCAATTTCAGGATGGAAACAGCTGGTTCGCAGTGACGGGAAATTCTTTCAGGAATACTATTCACGATGGCGAGCCTTTGCAAGCCATATCTTTCGCACCAGACAACGGGTACTGGCTGAGGAGAGTGGATGGGTCGACTCTCTGGCAAAGACTGCCGCATTCTCTTGACAACCTTTTGGAAGGAAGCCATCGCGAGGTTGAGTATGTGTCCATCTCTCCATCGGGTGCGTGGTTCGTTCGGTTCGCGGACAACACCGTTCTATATCGGGGAATTACGAAGAAGTGTACGGAGGAGGTGAAACACCAACAGGCGCGAGGGCGCGTGTTGTTCCAGCTAGATTTTGGTGCAAATGATGACTTTGTGATGGCAGTGCGAGGGCCGTGCTGATGGCTGCAGGGCTGAGCCCAAATCGGCAATGATCAAAATTCAACTGCGCAGTTGGGGCACGTTGGTATTCCCTGATACGGGAATCAAAAGTCACTCCCGGGTGAATTGGCGCAAAAGAAGCAAAGAAGAGCCCAGCAATCTTTGACACTTCTGTACGTCAAATCCACATTCCGTTTCAAACCTAAACCGCATTGAATTGAAGGTGGCGTCAGCTGGATCGAAGTTGAGGCAGCATTGGCTGGCATCTCACCGTGCTCCGGCAGCTATACTTGCTGGACCTTGTGGTCTTCCGGAAGGTATGAGAGTTCATCTTTCGGGCTTCCTTAACCCCAAATAACCTACCTTTTTCGGGGCCAAGTTCAGGTTAATCAACTTTTTTGGGTTCAGGATATGCATATCCGAGCACAGAGCAAGTTCCAGGTGTGGTTAAGCCCGAGGTCGGCAGCAGGCTCCGGGTTTGCGGTTAGTCGCAGTTTAGTCAGGGTTTAGGGTTTAGGGTTAGGGTTTAGGGTTAGGGTTTAGGGTCTAGGGTTTAGTTGAGAATTCAGGATAGCCTTCAGTCGGACTACCAGGCACATGACTGGTTTTTGACGTCTCACAACCACAGTTAGCTTGCCCCATGCCTCATCTCGAAGCCTACAACCCCGAAGCCGACCTCGTGTGGAAGCTCCCCCCGAAGCAGCCACGATGTCACACCGTCTCCTTGCCCTTCCACGCCTTGCCTGATTGTCTCAGTCTTCAGCATTTCGGGGTTTTGGGGTGTCGGGTTTAGGATTCGCCGTCGCGGTTGTGAGGGGGGTCTTGGGGTGTTTATGTCTTTTTGACCTGTGGTTTACCAGAGCGAGGGTTTGCAGCTTCAGCCTGCAGGGTTCATTAGGGTTTAGGGTTTGGGGGTTTAGGGTTTAGGGTTTAGTTTTAATTTTCGATGTTTTACAGTATGTTTCTCGGTGTAGGGCTCATCACAGGAACTCTTGCGCCCTGACGTTGCGAATGAGACTTTTCACTAGGCCCGATCTGACCGCAGCCTGAATCGGGTATTGTCCTAACTAGGACCCACCCGAAGGCATCGATTGCATACTATGGTTTCCAACGCACCACTGAGATTGTACACTTTCAAGGGTTGCACTGTCACGTTTTGTGTATGAGCTCACCCAAATCCTTCCTAAGCCGAAAACGACCCCTCTTTGGGGTTTTAGGCTTTCGAGTTTCCGTCACCCTGAACGTGAAGACCCAAAACCTTAATGCCCAAGACACCCTAGACCTGGAAAGCCTTTCATCCCTCGCCAAACTATGCGCAAAACCCGTACCGAATCAATACTGGAACATAGAGAGAAGGTTTGAAACACCACGCTTAAACCTAACACCACTCTTAAACCTCATAGGAACAGCCGTACCCTAAACCCTAAACCAAACCCTAAACCCCAGACCCTAAAAGCCCTCATGGCAAACCCATAAACCCGAAACCCAGAGTTAGAGCCTTGAAGTAGCCCTAAACCCAAATACTCTAAGGTTCCGATTTCTAAACTTCAATCCTAAACTCCCGAACCCTAATGAACCCTAACCATCAACCCTGAGCACCAGACCCACTCGTACTTTAGGCTCTTGGTTTTGATCTTCCTGCTGCTCGGCCACACAAGGTTGCACCCCCAAGCTCCACATTCTGACGTAGTTGAGCCCACAGCTTTAGGGTCTACTCGGAGCCTACGGTGCGGAGCTTAATTACCTACTTACTAAGTCCCCCGACCCTCCTAGCATGCCCAGAGAGTCCAGAATGTGTCTCTTATTCAGGATCCCTCTGTGTTGTCGTCAAAAAGGATTCCTTGGTTAACGGGTTCGTGAGTCTCTGCAAGACTGTTGCCATTAGGACCCCCTAATCAAAGCCACCTAGCCAAAATGCAAGGGTGCAGGGGTTAGCCTCCAAATCTCGTATACGTGCGCCGCTCTGACAACCCAGAATATCGCCATAAGCGTCAAGCGCATCCGAACTTCTCAAGCGCCCAGTAGACCACCAAAGCCAGCAGTCGGAAAGTTCCCGCGGCACAGCAAAGCCCTGTGAAACACGACGCGATGCTACTCTGCATAGATACAGAAAACAGCCCGGACAAGTCCTCACACCCCAGACACTAAGCCTTCAACTTCAAACCTAACCCCTGACCCCTAAACCCTGCATGAACCCTGACCCCTGAACCCCCTTTGAACCCCTGAATCCCTTACGTAGGGTCCAGAATCGGCGGCCAGACAGTTGCAATGGATAGCAATGCTTCTTCGGCGTGGTTCTGTTCCAACAAGCCCCTACGGTTAGTCTTGCCTGTTCGTTTGTTGGCTTGCTCCAGGCTATCCAAGGTTCCCAAGAAGTCGAAGGGGATGGGGAGGGTGTTGCGTGCTCTTACTGCGTTGTTAATCTTTAATGGTGTTGCTTTGTGAGCTTCCTCTGTACATGGGGCATTTCAGAGCAACCTCGAAAGGCATGCAGGTTTAGAACTGGCGTTTGTATTGCTTTCTTGGGTTAGCTATCCTTGGTTAGTCCCTTGTTCACAACTCCCGTCAGAACCTTTGGACAATTGCATCGAGGATGGGTGCGAGTCAACACGGGACTTCGTAGGCCCAATTCCGTTTGCCCACTCCGCTGTTGCTAGACATTCTGCTGAGGGTGGAAGGCTTTTGGGTATGTCCTTATCCCTTACCCATGCTCTCTATGCTTTGCAAAACGCCAAGGATGTACTTCAGTTTTATTTACTTCGCCATTTTGAACGTTGCCCGGGCCTTGGCAAATCAGACCCCTTCGTTTGAACTTAGAATTAAGCGAAGTTTTCACAATTCCAAACCCTAAACCCTGTATGGGGTTTATGGTTGGTGATCAATTCACTATAATTCACCATCATGAAGCTCGCTTTGTTTGTGTTTCTTTTTACGCGGAGGGGGGTGGGGTTCTGTTTAGTTGAAAACATGTTGTTTGCTTGCCTTTCGAACAGCCACCGCCCGTCCAGCTGGTCAAACCAGTACTTCCGTTTGTTAAACTTACATGCCCTCTTGCCAAACAGGGCCCCAGCGTAGTAACTTCGCCAAAAGTTACTGCCGTGGGTTCGCACCACAATCCTAGTCATGCGAGTCGCCACGGTACAGAAGTAGACCTGAGGAGAACACCCACACACCTGGATACATGTGTGCAGAACCGTATCCATGCATGCATGCATCCATGCATGTTACATGGGTGTAGGGTTGAAGGTGTAGCAGTTAGGGTTTGGGTTTTCCCCAATGGGTTTGCCCTGACGGCTTGGGCCTGGAGCTCTGGAGTCTACTTCCACGCCCCTACTTGGAGGGTCGGGGGACTTACTAACCAGGGCTCCTTCGACACTAATGGAGGGTATGGGAGTTAGTAAGTAGTTGTTGTAGAGAATTTCAAGGAGGATCCGTTTTAGGGTACCTATACGTAAAGTTACTACCTACTTACTAAGTTCCAAACCCCTGGGTTTTCGATTGGTGTGTACAGCAGGAACGTGAACCCGCAGGAAAGATGGAAGAAGTGTCTTTTTACACTTCATTCCCACGCCGGTCGAAGCTTACTTGTAGGACTGTTGTGCTGCTTTAGGAAAGTGTCAGTCCACCCCGGTATCTTGAGATGCGACTGTTCAGTGACGGCTGTGTGCTTGCCTTGAAAATAGTTACGAAGAGTATCCCCTATATGGGCCAAATATGATGAAACTGTAATGGACCCCAAGACCGTATCGAGACTAATACGGCCCGAAGATTACCTAGCGCCACCTTTGTTGGGAATAGAATATGCGCTCGTTGAAGAGTGCTCAGCGTAGCTCTCTTCTCACTAGATTGGGTTCGTACCAGGATTGAGTCGGAGAAGTCCTCTCCTGGCTTGGGGCCAGGTCCAAAAAAAGGGTTTCGGGTGCTGGGATTCTTAGTTTGTTCGGGTGGCTTCTTCTGACCTATCGCGCGTGTGCGTCTTCAGTTGCGTTCGGTTTCAACTGCTCGCCTCATGTTAGGAGACTGTCCCGTCCTTTGCAGAAGGGCCTACCTTCTGGCTGTTCATTGGCACCGGGACTAAGTTGTGCTAAACCCTAAACCCTGTTGCACACCTACAACCCAAAAAAATGCAGCTGAGGTGACGGGCGTTTTTTGTTCGAGTGCTATCGAGAGCGCATCAGAGGCTCCTCCGCGAGTAAGTTTCACTTTGAATCTTAGAGTTTAAAGTTTCAGGATTCGGATTCTCCCGGAGTCACTTTGGTGAAGTGTTTCGGATGAGCTTTGTAGCGACCACCAATTCTTGTTGGGGAGCACCCCTTCTTATGTAAAAGTTGCTGTACCAGTCATGAAATCTTGCAGGTCAGCGCGGTTGATTGGCTTAGATGAGTTATGACTTTGATTGTTATAGTAAAAGCCAGAAAGTTGGAATATGATTATCCTAAACCCTTTATGGTAAATTATAGGGTATCCTACCCTGAAACCATATTCCAACTTTCTGGAGTTCCCTTTATAAACAAACCTGTGCTCTGGCTACCTGTAACATAAGCCAGAGACTCCAAAACCCCTTAATTAAGGTATATACCTTAAATTATAAGAGGATCCCTAATATGATTTAAGGTATATTCCTTAATTAAGGGGTTTTGGAGTCTCTGGGAAGCCGTGCTGAATCACGACCCGTGACAAGTCCTTGCCCGTGCCTTTAGGTTTTGGGATTCAAGGATTGCTAGTTTACGGGTTTAGGTTGGATGCTGCATAAGGCCCTTATAGTAGTACCCTTATCAAAAACTGTGGCTTGAAAGCATTCCTCCCCAACAGAGCTCGCTTCTTCAAGACCTTGCAGACCTTACGACTTCAACCATAAAGATGGCGTTCTTAGCCCTTGCAGTGTCAACAAACTCTACGACGCCATTTTTTGGATTTCGAATCCCAATCCGCAGACTTGACACGCAATCCTAAGTTTCGATCCTCACACTTCAAACCCTAAACCCTAAACTCGAAACCCTAAACCCGAAACCCTAAACCCTCAACCCTAAACCCCCAAACCCCTAAACCCTAAACTCCCAAACCCTAAACCCTCAACCCTAAACCCTAAACCCTCAACCCTAAGCCTTAAACCTGCTGGCAGGATGCAGGTATGCTGATTGTGGACCACATGCGAAAGACTGAGGAGCCGCAGATCTAGGGTTTAGGGTTTAGGGATTTTGCTATTGGGTACTTGGAGGATCATGGGACTAAGCAAGTAGGGTTATAATAACCCTAACTGGGGTTATAAGTAATTATAAGTGTAGTTACCCTGATTTTAACCCTAGTTACTAAGTCCCATGACCCTTTAAGTAGTAGGTCGGTAGGTTGTCGGTTGCTGTGGTCCTTTAGATGCAGGGCTTAGGTCGACGGTGAAAAGGGGTGTTAGCTATTGCGGGCTTTCATGGTTTTTAGAATAATCTAGGTGGTTGTCAAAATTATGTCCCTTTTTGGGTTACCTTAAATATTAGGTGCCGTAATTATATTAAGGACCCAGAAGGGGACCCTAATTTTGACAACCACCCATTTAGGTTTGAGGCTGCTAGAGCCTTCGGACTTCAGGGTTTTCAGGATGACGGTTTCGCGAGTAGGTTTCGGGCTTAGACGTTTGGGTAGGAGGGTTTTGTGGTGGGTCGTCATAAACCTTGGGTACTGCCTCCACTCAGTAACAGTTGGATAATATTCACAATATAGATATATTAGGACCTTAATAGTAGCCTTATTATCGACTGTTACTGTATGGGGGGCAGTACCCAACCTAAACCCATTGATCCATCTTTGATCTTCGTTGCTCGCGCCACCGCTGCAGCCTTGCTGCCTTCCCAACCTGAAGACCTTCGCAACGATCATAGGAGGCCAAAAGGGGTTTTAGCCTATGGGGGTTTAGTAGGGATTAGGGTTCCCATAATAGGGTTCATAGTAAGGAATCCCAACCCCAAGAATCTTAAACCCCCCTGTTGGCCTCCCATCAAACGAATTCTCTAACGGAGCTTCTGACTCCTAGCCTGTAGCTGATTCCATGAACCTGCAAGTAAACCCTCTGCAATGTATGAGCCTTATACGAACTCTCTAACTCAATATGAGCGCCAGAATGGCCAGGGCCTGAATCGCCTGATCCGTAAAGTAGCTGTTTCTCGTCGTTTCGACATTCGAAGCATGCAGGAGTACGCGACGAAGCTCACAAATCTGCTCTTTGGATCGAGAATTGCATGGGTTCGTCAGCGAAGCAAATGTGGGGCTTGTACGCTGGCTTCTTCTGATCTGACCTTAAGCCCGAAGGCTCACAAAGAGTAGGTGGATCATGGCTGACAGCTCTTAGTATGATTACTATCCCTCCAAAAGCCGTTCTTGCAACAAAACTCTGGTGCCAAAGCACCCTGTCGTTGCAGTCTAGAAAGCCCACAGATTCTTTCGCCGGTTCTTTCGACATGATCAGCCGTTACAGTCTTGACGCAGCGGTACCCTCGTAGGGACCCTTACGGGGGTAAGGGGGGGTAGGGGACTATACTTCCTTTCCCACGCCTTATTGAGTCCAAACTATACGTATTAAGGCCCCCTATCCCCGTCCCCCCCCACGCCCTAACCAGGATGCCCAGTAGTACCCTTATTCCCTTTTTGTAGTCCTGGGTTCCCCATAAAGTTGCACAATACCAAAAAGGGAGCCCTTTTTATTCCTAGGTTACTGGGCATCCTAGCTAAGGGTCCTTATGATTCCAGGTGAGTGGGAGTCGGATTGCGGCTTCAGGTTTTTGGCTCCGAGACCATGAGGGGCCTTGGTAGTCTAAAGTTACCTATAGCACTTTTTTGCCTTACTATAGCTACGGTATAATCTGCCCCACAACCCTATTCTAATCACTACGGTTGATGATAAAAATCCTGCATTACTTTAAGGACCCCAAACTATGGGAATTATGGTCTCTTCCTTAATATGGGTAATGCAGGATTTATATCATCAACCGTATGGCCTAAGGCCCCCATATTGCAACCCAAGGCCCCAATCATACCCCTCAGCAGTTTCGAGTGTTGAAACCCTAAACCCTAAACCCTAAACCCTAAACCCTAAACCCAATCATACCCCTCAACAGTTTCGAGTGTTGAAAGGCCCGGCCCCTCCAAGACGCCCCGAGGGGTTTAGGGTTTAGGGTTTAGGGTTGAGGGCAAATCTCCGGTCTTGCAGCTCTCTAGGCCTCCAACCCCAACCATACCACCCAAAAACCTGAGCCCCCCTAACCCTAAATCCGAATACCCCGAAACCCTGACGACCCAAACCCCGACACTCTAGCGGCGTAGGCACTGAACGCAAAAAACTTGATCTCTAAAGCCCTTACCCCTAAGGTCAAAACCCTAAACTCTGAAGCGCTAAAGCATAAACCTTAAACCTACGCAGGTTCAAGCAGATCGATGCCGACAACTCCGACACCATCTCCATCCTGGACCGGTTCCTGCAAACTGGATATCAGCGGGTAGACCAGAAGACATAAATATTGTATAGAAGCTTGACTTATTCCTTAGCGTTCTTTAAGATAACTATAGCACAGCATACAAACCAAGACACTATCCTGAGTTCAGACCCCGGGACTCTACCCAGCCGCGCTAGAACTTCGAGTTTAGGGTTTGGGGTCTAGGTTTTTGGGTTTCTCAAAGGCGAAAAGGAGGGACCCTTAATGGGGACCCCTAGCCTATAATGGGCTATTTACTGGGTATAGAATAGCTATATTAAGGGTATAAAACCTAGGGGTCCTTATTAAGGGTCCCAACTTAACCCTAAACCCCCTAAACCCCCCAAACCCCTCAACCCTAAACCCTATACCCTTATAGAATCCCTAAAGATCCCTTTAAAGGGACCCTTAAAGGGTCCCTCCTTTTACCCTTGGAGTTTCGGGTTTTGGGTTCGGGGTTTAGGCGGTTTAGGCCTTGGCGTTTCAGGGCCCCAGTCCTCGCAGAAGGCCGCACCTCGACCCTCAAAATGCTAGGATACCTTCCCAGAGACTCCAAAACCACTGAATTGAGGAATATACCCTAAACCAAAATAGGAACCCTAATATGATTGAAGGTATATTCCTTAATTAAAGGGATTTGGAGTCTCTGGATTCTTGGGGGGTCCTAGCTTCTAGATCGTTCTCTAAGCCCTAGACCCTGAACCGCTAACCGTGGACCATGCCTGCTTTGAGTGCTCTGAGCAGCACCTGCCACTACGCTCCTTGTCCGCTTAAGTTCCAATACGAAGCCTCGGACCTTGCGATCCAAACCAGAAGCGTCAATCTCTACTTGGAGGGTCGGGGGACTTAGTAAGTAGGGTGATAAGTAGAGTTATAAGTGCCCTAAAAGGGATCCTAATTGGGGTTATGGTACTTATAAGTCTCCAAAATAACTTGTTACTAAGTCCCCCGACCCTCCAAGCAAAGCGCCGACGACCCCTAAGCCCCAAATCCTAGACCCTAAAGCCCATCCCCTCAACGCATACAAAGAGGCCTTCAGACTTCGTGTAGAGTCCGCACCCTCAGAACCCTCAAACCCTAAAGCCCCAATGCAACTGTCACTAACATCTGATCCTCAAAACCCTGCAAACCTCAAGCCCCAAGGTGCCGAACCAGTTTCAAACCGGAGCACCTTGGAATCTCAACCGCCTCAAGCGCAATAAAACCACCCAGGATTTCAAAACCCTAGAAGATTCGAAAGCTTGAACCTTAAGACGTACATTAAACCCTTATAAACCCTAAACCCTACATCAGTCCCCCGAGCTTTAAACCCTAAACTATATAAAGCCAGTTATCTACAGCATGGAGGTAAAGCCGTAAACACGCGAAGCCTAAACTTGAAGCCTTAGAAAACCCCTAAACGCCAAAACCCCAACGCCGCAGAAGAGAACCCTCCATTCAGAGACCCAGGAGCTCGAGAACATTTTCGGGGATCCTATACTCTAAACCCTACCTTAAGCCGGAATAGCCTACCTTTTTAAGGACTTATATAAGGAAATCATAATAAGGAACCCTAGAAAGGTAGGTTATTCCGGCTTAAGGTAAACCCTGAACCTTCAAACCCTAAGCCCTAAAGCCTCAAACCCTTAAACCCTAAACTCTTGAAGTACCCTTATGGACCCTTTAAAGGAGCCCTTAATAAGGAACCCTTAAAGGAACACTTAACGGAACCCTTAAAGCAAGCCTTCAAGGAACCACCATAATTTTGACAGCCACCCACATAAATAATTAGAATTTGGAACCCTTAAAGGAACCCTAGAAGGAGTCCTAAATGGAACCCTAAACCAGGAGTTCGAGGAGAACTTCCATGATCCGGAGGTGAAGGCCCTGTTTCAAACACTGGGCATCGACGAGGATAAGGCCTGGCCTGGTTCGGGTTCCTTTAAGGGATTTAGGGATTTAGGGTTTAGGGCTTTAGGGTTTAGGGCGTAGGGTTTAGGGTTTAGGGGTTTGGGTTTTCGGATTTAGGGGTTAGGGATCCTTCTTTAGGGCTTTAGGGGTTTTGGGGGATCGGTTAAGGTTTTCCTTAAAGGGTCCCCTTCAGGATATTCTGGGGTTCAATAATGAGGTATTTGGGGTTTTGGGGGTTACTTTAAGGAATCTAGAGTTCCTTTAAAGGGGTCCATAAGAGTACTACAAGAGCTCAGAGGTTTGGGGGTTTGGGCTTCAGGGTTTGGGGTTGAGGGTTTAGGGTTTGCTAGGGTTTGGGGTTAAGGGAACTATACAGGGACACTGACGGCAGCATGTTACGAAGAATCATCCAACACCGGTCTTAAGCCGTTCTCAGCCCGAGGCCGTTCTCAAACCCCAAGTGACGAGGCATGGAAGCTCTTCGAGATACTCGATGAGAACGAGGATGGCGAGATCCACGTCGAAGAGTTCGTGCCGCCGGTCTGAGCTTAGGCCCTAAGGGAACTCCAGAAAGTTGGAATATGGATTAATGGTAGGATCCACTATAATTTACCTTAAAGGGGTTACGATAATGATATTCCAACTTTCTGGCCTCTACTGTAGGGTGGAGGGTTTTGGGGGCTCCATGATCGAGGTTTGCCGGTTTCATCATTTTGGAATTCAACGCCTGAGTCAAGGATTCCAAGCCCTAAACCCTAAGCCCTAACCCCGAACCCTGAACCCTAAACCCTAAAACCTAACCCCTCAACTGTCCAAATCCCAAATCCGAGACTGAGTCGAGGATCTTCCTGGGTGGACTGGTCTCAGAGATCCCAAGAAACATCCCTAAAGCCAACACCACAAACCTTAAAACCTAAGTCCTAATTTAAGCCCTAAGCCTTATCCCCCAACACCCTAAGGAATTCTGACTGCTGTATGCAGTTGAAAAAGATCGACTCCTGTTTTGATCCAGTGCGCCTCATAGCGGCGCCGCTCACCACCTCGCCGAAGAATCCATTGGCTTGCCCTGACTACAATGTCACAATGGACTTCTCAATACAGCTCAAAAACCCGGCCAAACAAGCATGCTCGGCCAGTCACCTACAAGACCTCTGAAAGCGAGCCTGGTGACCTCACCAGCACGCCTTTAGAGGTTTTGGGGTTGGGTGGGTCGAGGATCGTTGCCAGATCTCCCACTCACGGAGATATGGTCTGGAAGCTGTCCACTTACCCTCAGGACATGCTTGGAGGGTCGGGGGACTTAGTAAGTAGTTATTTTGGAGACTTATAAGTACCATAACCCCAATTAGGATCCCTTTTAGGGGACTTATAAGTCTACTTATTACCCTACTTTCTAAGTCCCCCGGCCCTCCAAGTGGAGAGGCAGGTATGTCAGTTGCTCGGACCAGTCACGGCTGCAAAGCTCCGAGAGAGGCTCCGAGGGCTTGGCGAAGACCTCATCCGCAGACACAAGGAGGCGGAGATGGTGGCTACGGTCAAAACCCTAAACCCTACTTGGAGGGTCGGGGGACTTAGTAAGTAGTTAATAAGTAGACTTATAAGTCCCCTAAAAGGGATCCTAATTGGGGTTATGGTACTTATAAGTCTCCAAAATAACTAGTTACTAAGTCCTCCGACCCTCCAAGTAATCCCCTAAACCCCGTCCGGGTCCCAAACCCGCAGCCTTCAGCCCCGGGGAGCCTTTAAGGCCTTTTCAGGTCCCCAAAAAGACTTGAGTACGGCACTCTTATCAAAAGGACCCTGACATAAACCCTTATTCAAAGAACCTCCCAAATGTGAGACCTGAATATAATTAATAGTTCCAGAATATTATTCCTCGGGGTTCGGTACCACTTAGTTCAAGGTGCATGGCCTCTGGCAGCCACACCTAAACCCTAAACCCTAAACGGTCAACACAGCGAGGTTCCATTGCCCTCAGCCAAAACCCCAGAACCCCATGAACCCAAACCCTGAATCGTCCCCGTAGATCTCAGCCTACACGATGGGAAGTTGCGAGTACAGTAGGAGCCCAAGCCTCAATCCTTAAGAGTAAGATATAGGGAATCCCAGCACTAATTGTCCTTAATCCGGTTTCCAACTCTTTGGGGTTTGCTATACTGCTATTAAGAAACAGGATGGAAGATATGCGACTAGACTGGACTGCAGGAGACCCTACACCCTAAACCCTGAATCCGAAACCCCCAAACCCCCGAGCTCTTGTAGTACCCTTATGGAGACCCTACACCCTAAGCTAGAAGGCAATGTCTCTGGGGATCCCGATGCGACATTTTGAGGTCACGCTGCTTCAAGCTGCGCGGTTCTGCGCAGCGGCTAGATACAGAGAGGACAGCACCTGACGGGTCTGAGGTTTTGGAATCGCGAGGGGTGTGAAAGAGGGGTTTAGAGTTTCAAGGTTTAGTGGTTCGGGGGTTTAGGGGTTTAAGTCAAAGGGTTTAGGGGTTCAGGGGTTCAGGGGTTAGGGTTCAGGGTGTAGGATTCAGGTTGTAGGGGTGGTTGGTTTTAGGTTTCGGATTGGGGGTTGGCAAGACTCCAGAGCACTCAGGCCCCCAAATACAAGTGATGACAAGGGCTGAGACGTTGCTGTAAGTTTTAGGAACTGGCAATTTTGCTATATGGGGGGCTCTCAAAATTATGGTCCCTTTTTGGAGACCCTAAATAATAGGTGCCGTAATATAATAGGGACCCCAAACGGGACCATAATTTTGACCACCACCCGTATAACAGCCTGATAAGGAGAAGCTCTTAAACATCGGGGTTCGTTGTTTGGAGCTCACCAGGTTTGGGGTGCAGGGTTCAGGGTCTAGGGTTTAGAGTTCTGGGGTTGGATGTAGGGTTTGGGTTTAAAATGCCCTTGTGCATCGTGGCCGATGCAGGATCTACGCCGTGATGAAGAGACAGAGTGCGCAGCTGGACGACATCTCAGGCTTGATGCCGTACGACGCAGGGCTGAGGGTGCTCAGCCCCACACCCTACAGCCCGAAACCCGAAGAGCCCTGAAGTCCCAGCACTTGGGGTTTCTCTAAAACTCCCACCGGCGACCCGAAAACCAGGGACCATGGAAAGCACCCGAATGTTGCTCATATGGAGTTTCTGAAGTAAGGGGTAGCGTGTATATTTAGAGGTGTGCGGGGGTTAGGTTCGAGTTTCTGACGGAAGCAGGGGGCTGCTTCCTGACGTTGATCTTGCCCAACATTATGAACTCCGTCTACGTCCCCGCGTCTCAGTAGGGGCTTGGAAGGGGTCGTCGACTCGAAATTCCTAACCCTTACATGCTTGAAAGTTCATGGGTAGTTGTTTGGTGTATAGGGTTTAAAGTAGGCGGTTTAGGGTCTCTGGTTTAGCAAGGGTTCAGGGGTTTAGGGTTCAAAGGGAAGAGGTTCAGGCTCCAGGGTTTACTGTTGAATCGCAAGCCCGCCTACTATAGGGTTTGGGGTTTAGGCCCTTGATCTCTCACAACAACGACAGTCTTCCCCAAAACGTCCAAGTATCCCAAATAGTAGGGTTTCAGGTCCCAAAATCCATAGTCTGAGTGAACCCTACACCTTAATTAAACCCGAAACCCCAAACCCTTAAACCCCTAAGCCCTAAACCCAGTCTTCCACACCGGGAGGCTATGTCAATGATCTCCTCCGTGGTATCACTTCCCTGGTTCTCAACCAGCAGAAGCGGAGCGGCACCATCGGAAGGAGCGATGTTTTAGAGGGAAACGCTACAGGGGGTTGGGGGCTTGGGATTTCACTTGAGGTCAGAATATACCTGGAAGGCAACTTACGGGAGTTTCCAACAATTAGGGTACCTTATTTTGGGATCATTCTCATAAAGATCCTACTATTTAGGATACTGTATTAGGGTCCCCTATTTTCGGACACCCCCATATAGTTAACTTGAACCCTAGGCAACCCTTGGCCCTGAACCCCGTGAAATATAGTATCCTAAATAGTAGGATCCTTATAAGAATGATCCCAAAGTAAGGTACCGTAGTTGTTGGAAACTCCCGTGTGTTGCCTGTTCTTCAATGCAGGGGTCGTGGTTGTCACGATGCGGCTGCCACGTCTCCTGAAACCTCGAGCCGAAACACTACTTGGAGGGTCGGGGGACTTAGTAAGTAGGGTAATAAGTAGAGTTATAAGTACCCGAAAAGGGATCCTAATTGGGGATGTGGTACTTCTAAGTCTCTAAAATAACTAGTTACTAAGTCCCCCGACCCTCCAAGTAGAGCTCAAACCCATATAGTACCCTTATAGAAACCCTCCCAGTACTCAAAGCATTCCTTAACCATTCTCCCCATAAGCTCTAACCCTCCAACTCCAAACCCTACACCCTAAACCCCTAAACCCTAAGCCCGAAACCCCAAATTCCAAACCCTCACCCTAAACCCTAAACCCTAAACTCCAAACCCTACACCCTAACCCCTAAGCTACCTACCAAATCCGAATCACTGAGAGCACCCGACAACGCTCGAAGCTGCGAGCTCCAAACCACACCCCCCGCCCCACTAAACCACCGTAAGCCCTCGAAGTTGGTTCAGGGCTTGAGGGCTTGAATTTACAGACTCGTGCAGAAACTAGACACAAGGCCGACACAACTCTCAAAGGAATCCTGACTGTAGCGTTTAGGGTTAAAATTTTGGGGTGTTTAATGTTCTCAAACTTTGAATGCCAAAAGCCCTGCACCCCAAAAGCCCAAGACAACCCAGACTCCCAAACCCCAAAGCCCCAATCCCTCAACACCAAAACGCCTAAGCCTAGAAGCCCCAAACCCTAACCTCTACCCCTAAACCCTAAACCTTACACCTTAAACCCTAAACCCTAACCCTAAACCCTAAACCATAGTATAAACCCCAAAGCCACCGAGAGGAGTCAGACGAGCTGGAATCCCAGTTCGTGATGCCCTCTTAGGCACCTGCCTACCCTGTCTCTTCTCTCGCAGCAACGTTTGGGGGTGCATGAGGGTTTATGGGGATGTTGAATGTTGCAGGGTTCGTACGGGTTTGTTGAGGGTTATAGGGGTTGCTAAGGTTTCTAGTTAGGGGTCTTATATCGGCTTTGAATGCTTTTAGTTTTGAGGGTATAAATTTAGGGTGGTCCAATGAGTCCAATGGCACTGCTCAGCCCCTCGAGCTCTTTCCAATGGCTCCATGCATTGTTCGTCCCGAAACTGTGTAAATCACTGCCGGATGCCTTCTTGGCGTTCTTCTGGTTGGCTCTTAGGACAACTTGTTGGGTTTCTATATGAACTATAGTAAGGAGGCCAAAAGTCTAACTTTGAGAAGGGGTGCAGAAGTCAGCCAAGTCAAACCAGGGATCCTACGACAATTTAACCTATATTCCTTAATTAAGGGGTACTGGGCTCTCTGTCTTCAGGGTCCGGCAGCCCCCTAGGCTATGGCCGAAGCAGGACTGGCTGGGAATTTCTCGATCAGGGCTAGGGGTTTAGGGTTTTCATGGCTTGGGCTTCAGGGTTTACTTGGAGGATCATGGGATTTAGTAAGTAGGGTTATAAGTACCCTAATTGGGGTTATAAGTAATTATAAGTGTAGTTACCCGAATTATAACCCTAGTTACTAAGTCCCATGACCCTTTAAGTAGGCTTTAGTGCCTAACCCAAAGCCGACCCACAAGCATAAATCCTGAACTCCATACACTAAGTTTCATATACGTTGCGTACGGCCCCGCTATTAAGGTCCTGATATATCTATATTGTGAGTATTTTGCAACTATTACTGAGTGGGGGCCGTACCTAACATATACGAAAGGAACGACTCTTAGCCCAAAGCCCTAAAGCCTTCACCCGTCCCCCACAACTTTCGGAGGTGCCGAAGACGAGCGCTTGGCAGCGGAATCGGCCCCCCCCCCCCCAGGCCGGAATAGTTGGAGTTTAGGGTTTGCTAGGTTTTCAGACTTGGGGTTTAGGTATCCGGGACCCCTTGATTAAGGAATATGGCTTAGATTATGTAGGGCTTCATTTCATGATTTAAGCTATATTGCTTAAGTTAGGGGTTTAGGTATCCGGGTTAGGTCTTAGGTTTTGGCAAGAACTGGACCCTTTGATAAGCCAGCTTTGTGTTCTGGTTTGCCAGCACCTGGAGGAAGTGCTTGGAGTGTAATGGAAAGGCCTGGATTTGTCGTAAATATTTAAGGCCTCTATTGTTACATCGAAGCCCTACTCGCGTTCAGGCGCGTACATTCGCCACCGAATTTGTTGCTTGGGTTCCTCTAAGGGTTCTGTAGCGATTTGCATTAGGGCTTTAGGATTTCGGGTTTGGGGTGGTCGGGGCTTTTCAGGTAATGTAGGAACCTGGTTAAGAAACCCTGCGCCTATAACCTCACAGTAGTAGGCTTCATATAAGGAACCTTTATAAAGGCCCAAGGTTTCTTAAGCAACCCTAAACCCTAGCAATCAGGTTCCTACAGTAGCCCTTGAAAGGAGCCCTTCAAGGAGCCCCTGAGTGAAACCAGCAATGTCTGAAATCTTGGCTTCGTGAGGTTTCGAGTTGTTGGGGTTTAGCCTAAACAGGAGAGCGCACCTAAAACCCCATACAAGGTTTTTTTGGCTTTAGGGGGTTTAGGGTTAAGGTTTGAGGATCTAGGGTTTTGGGGTGTTGGGTTTAGGGCTTCGGAGTCTGATGTCGGGACTGGGCCTCAGCGTCAGCGGATCTTATATAATCGATCTGTCGAAAGTGCAGTTTGATTGTCAGTTGTTTGCTGGTGCTGACAGTCTTACTACAACCAGGCAAGCGGCAATGATTTCAGTTGCTGCCTTTGAGTCTTAGTTGGGAAGTTTCTCTTTGTTCTTGATACGGCATATTTATTTTGCGATCTCAGCAGAGCGATATGGGCTGAATGATATGCTTCGGTAGATTCAAACTTTTAACAAGAGCCAGTTTCAGGTTCGGAGTTTTTGGCTAAGGTTTGTCGCAGGTAAGGATTTCGGGGGGGCGGAGAGCAATAGAAGCCTGGTCACTTAATACGACCCTACTTGGAGGTTCATGGGTAGTTATAAGCAGGGCTATAAGAAGAATAACTATACTTGTAACCCATCTTAGGGGACTTATGACCCCACTTAATTATAACTACTCATGAATCTCCAAGTAATCCCTAAACCCTAAACTTTTATAAAGCCCCCTTCAACCCAACCCCCCCTCCCCCACCCGCACGAGACCCAAACCCACCGCAACCCTTAAATCTCAAACCCTTACAGTAGAAGCCTAAAAGTTGGAATCCCAATAGCCCCAATCCTTAAGAGTACTGTATAGGGAATCTCAGCACTATTTGGCTTTAATCCGGTTTCCAACTTTAAGGGGTTTACTGTAACCCCCAAACCCACTTTCGTTCAGATGCAGATGGACCCTAAACTACAAAACCGTAAACTGTGAAGCCTTCTTTTCTTGGCTCAGGTGCGGGTCAGCTCCCCGTGGAAGCACCTACACCCAAAGACGCCCGGAATCCTTCATTGAGGGTTTAGGGTTTAGGGTTTGTTTTCGGGGTTTCCGAATCATGCCAGGAATCTTCGTGCAAATCTTGCCAGTTGAGCAGCTTTTCTGGGTTCTAAGGTCCACAAGCATACTAGAGCCTTTCAGCCCTAAGCCCTAAACCCTCACCCTAAACAGAGGGGTCCGAAGAATTGCAGTAGTTTCCCCTTATCGTTCTCGTGAAAGTCTACTCTAATTTGGCCCCATATCCTGTAGTAGCCGTCGTTGTCGTAGCAGTAGTTTTGCTGATATTGATAACAAGAAGAAAACTGATAAACAACAACAATAAAAAATAATGATAATGATGGGGAGCCTCTTGTAAAGGGAATTGGGCGTTTTGGGGTGCATTCATCCGTGCCCGCACGCCTCGCGAAGCGACGTGCTGCTAGTGATCTTTCAGCGACTGGAGGCCTGACCCCTAGAACCCTAGGGTTTTAGGGTTTAGGGTTTCCGAAAACATGAGGGTTGAGAGTTTAGGGGCACGAAGTCTGGGTTCAGGGTTCTGGGTATGTTCCAAAAACCATCCGCAGACCCTAAACGCGTAACCCAGAGCCGGAGACCTTTCCTGGACTGCCCAGCTCACCCTGGAACGCACACCTTAACTTGGCGTTCTTCTGGTGTCCTCTTAGGACTTTATATAACTTTTTGGGTTTCTATATGAACCATAGTCAGGAGGCTAAAAGTTTAACGCTTAGGAGGGGTTCAGAAGTCAGCCAAGTTAATCCTGCTCAGTCATAATTACTAGTCAGAGTAATGACAAGGGTAGTGTAAGCGGATTCATGGTTTGGGTTTCGGATTTTGGTTGCAGAGTTTTTGGAGCTCTGGTTTCAGTGTTCCGTGCATGTTTTCGGGTTATCCTAGACTCCCCAAAGTTCGAAGAAATATCCGCACCAGGTGGAAGTAGACCCTAAACCCTAAACCCTAAACCCTATTAGAAGGAAGCACGCTTCGAGTTCGAGTCCTCCAGTCGATGATGTTTGGCCAGCCTTTGCAGATGATGAGGAGAATGCGATGTATAGGAACAACTAGAGTCTTCTATTTAGGAATTATTTTCTTATTTTTGTTCATATAAAACCCAAGAGAATATGAACAACATTATGTTTATTGTGGTTCTAAGGGGGGTATAGAATAGGTGCGTGTCTCTGCGAGCAGTCTGTAGGTATATGGTAAACTGTGAGCCAGACATAGTATACAGTGTCTACATGGTAGCGAGCTGCAGTGTGTGATGGCTGATAGCAGTCAGTGACTGGATCCAAGAAAAATAAAGCTTTTGAGCATACGAAGAGTACCCTTTCGCGAGGGTGCTGCAATCTTTGTGTCAAGGTTGTTCCATTTTGAGTAAAGCCCCCTCCCCCTAAAGTGCCAACCCTTAAGCCTTACTAATTCCCGGGCCGCCAAGTCCTAAGCCCATCGACAACCATTAAAAAGCGAAAGTCCTAAACCTTGAAGCCCTGAATCACGAAAGCCTTATAGATCACCTAAACCCTTGAACACCTTTTGGCATGTCTAGGTGTCTAGAAGCCCTTCACACGGGGTAGCAAACTGCAAAATACGAACCATACAACTTAGAATATAAACCTGAACCTGGACACGGCTTTATGCGTCACGTCTTATCCGAAGAAACATGCGCAGAAGGATCGCGATCGGAACTCTTTCGCCACGTTTTGTTTTGTATTTGGGGCTTCAGAATTTGGGTCAATGCAGCGGGGTTTCGGGTTCAGGGTTATGACTTTTAACCACTAGACCCTCAGCCCTAAAACCATCTTCCGCCGCCCCTTTCAATTTCTTATAGGGGCCTTAAGAATTGCTTCTACGTTCCGTATGAACAATGAGCACCAGAACCCTAAAGATTAAGGCCCCTATATCCCTAAGTCCCTTATAGTACCCTTTATAGTATCCCTTAAAGGAACCCCAAAACCCTGTTCTAATTCTTGTGGCCCCTAAATTACTACTTGTGCTGCCAGCTTCTACTCCTGAAGAAGCCCGAAGTCAGGAGGTCGTAACAGTGAGGCATGGGTTCTTGTTAAGGAATCTATTTTAAGTTACCAAAATAGCGACCTAGAGTAAATACTATGGTTTCCTTATTATGTGGTAACTTAAATGAAATCCCTGAATGTAGCAACCTGATTAAGAAACCCTGGGCCTACAACCCCCCAATAGTAGGATTGATAAAAGGAAGCCTAATAAAGGCCCAAGGTGTCTTAATCAGGTTCCTGCATTAACAAGAGCCCATTCGGGCTTCGAATTTATACTGTACTGTAACTACGGGGACGATGCCGGGGGTATCGTTTCAAAGTCTTTAAGAAGCCTATACTACACACGCCGGAGAAATTCGTCATCTGCCGGGCCTGCTCGTGGGCGCTTCTCTGCCGGGGGTTCTGCTGGGAGGGTGGTTTTGGCCTTGGCTTGCAGGGTT